ACTATTGAGTAATAGAAATTATAATATTATCATCCTAAATGCCCATCGAAATCAAGTATTCTAATAACAGTAAATTTTAATCGTAAATCATACGGTTTACATAGATTTACATAATAATATATCATAACCGTTCATTTTAGTGTACGTTATTTTTTAGTATTAATTCGATTTTCACAATATTTATTTAATTCTGTAGTTGTGTACAAACTATGTAACGAACAAATTATGTAAAATTATTATGAATTCGAATTAATTAGGAAGTTGTCCTAAATAAATTTACATTATGTTATAAATGTTGTAAATATTAATTTTCAATAATTTTATCCATTGAGTAATATGATATGATATGGAATTTCCAAGCAATCGATGGATTTACCATAGACGTATCATAATTGTGTAATTAATAATCATTTATGAAATGTTTGTAATGAAATAATAAATATTATACGAATATTTAATTTGTTAAACTTACTATCGGWTAAAGTTACACACCGCCGATTCGGTTTAGAAACTATTTAGCTGTTTTTATTGTGATTTAATATGTTAGGTACGTAAAGGTTAAAGGACTTTTGTTTAGGAAAGGGAAGGTATTATTTCTGGTGCTTTAATTAACAATAAATTGTCGATGTATCTAGGATCGTTTTACTGCAATTTGTTTCTACTAAAGCGTATAGTGGGCCGGTATCTACTTAATTAATTTTAGAATTCATTTTAACACCTCAATAGACCATTAAAAACCATTAAAAACTGTTTTAATTGTTAATTTATGTACTCACGATTATAATAACAACAAATATGTACCTATGTCCTACAGATGGGATACTGAAACTGCGGGAGCTTGTCTCGCGTTGCTCACATCATTCCGGGTCAGTATTGGCTATTAATGTGTTATACCGTTATGTTTTATTTTAGAACGATGATAAATMATCGCGTCCATAAAACAATAATTTTGAAAGGAACCAAGCATTGTATTTTTTTAAACTATATTGTGTTGTAATTTTTACGATTTTCATACATTTGATAAAATGTTCATGCTATAAACTGCTGTATATTTCTAACAATACAATAAAATCAGTTGAATTTTAAATTTCTGAATGAATAATTTGGATGATGATAGCTGTACTAAAAATGTTTGTTTTAAAAATCATATTGTTTTTAGAGAACAAAGTTCTTCAGAAATTAWAAAATTAGATATTTTCAAAAGTCATAATGAATAAAAAATTTAATTATTTATTGTTATTTGTGAAATATCTAATTAAAATCATTTTGTAATTTGGGTTATTCAAATGTATGTACAATTTCTAGTTAATTTCCTAGGAAGAAGAAAAACAATTTRCATTGATTTAATTATTCAAACGATTAATTATTTGTTTCTTTTGAAAATATTTTGCCAGGTGGGGTAATCAACTATCAATCAATAAACACGTTAGATTAAATGAGTAAACATATAGAAATGGTTTAAATAAATAAAATCATATTTTTTAGTTTAACATGTTTTTAATTTGTATTATTATAGAAGTGTTAATGTCTGTCAAAATCAAGATTTATAAGATTTATGATTTTCAGTTTTAAAAAATAAAAATGAAAATTATATTTATAAATGTAGGTAGCACAAGTGTATATGAATTATATCGAAAAAAATGTTTARTATTGAATACAACAAAAGTTATACCAAATGTTAGATTATCGTGATTAATATTATATACATATATTTACAACTAATGTCCAACAACTGTAGTATGTATCAAGCTCCAAATAAATTATTATTTCAATTTCAATAAGTTCCGAATTTTTCTATTATTTCTTTTTATTTTATTAAAATGTTTATTTAATGTACAGTGTTAAGTATTGAATAGTGACTATAAAATGTATTGCTTTATTAGAATACGTTTAAGTAGGCAGTGTTAAATAATAATAATAATAATAACAGTATAAAAAAGGTAAATATAAATCATAGTAAACTCCGGCARTTTTCCGTGAGCTTTGGCTTCTGACAAAGAGAAAGTTTTTGTTTATATTTTACATAGAAAGAAAGAGAAATGGAAACTATGTGTTTGATCAGGATAACATTGTGCACTCCGTGCTAGGATAAAATAGAATTTTTTCCTGCAAAGATTCAATAGGAAAAAAACTCGTTAGTCTCAATTTTATTGTTTGTCAAACTTTCCRTGCATTTATAATAAAGTAATATAAATTAAAAACTTTTTGATATTGTTAAAAAGATATTGCATATTACAAATCTAAAAATACACAAAATAATATAATGGTTGGATAGTCAAGTAAAAAGTGTATAATATAATAGTTAATAATGATATTCCCATTCACTTGTAAGTTGTATTAACTAATCACTAGTGCAGATAATACATTAAGTACTTCAAGTGTAAATTTAAATAGCTAATATAATTAAGTAATTTTGTACATTTTACAGAAAACGCATCAAGGTTACATAATACAATTTAATATTTAACTAGTTAGCTGATAAAATGATAATACCTACTAATGTATCGTCTGAGAACATCGAATTTTCAGCATTCTATTTCTTCTGTAGTWTAATTTTTTAGTAATTTTATTACAAACTGAAAATATGCTGACCAAAACCTAATTATTTTGTGTTACCTATACCAGATTTAAATTGACGTTGTATCTAATTTAACGTATTGTAATAAAAATTGTAAATTTTTTTTAAAACAAACACACCTGGAACTAGAATCAAATATTCATTAAAATAAAATAATGGAATAWAAATTTTCCCAACAAAACAATAACATTGAAATAATAATAATATTAATAATATATTTGTCTAAATTACAAGCTTACGAAATCATTATAAATCGTTTTGAGTCTTGTCAATTTAAAATGTATTAAAAATATTATTTGGGATATTGAATTTTTGGCCAACATATTGTTTTTCTCTTCTTTACGAATACGATTGAAAATCGAATAATGGTTGAGAAACTATTTTTTTCTCATATAGAATCTATTGATTCTGTAACGATATTTTAACACTTTTTTTGCAGGTCACAGTGCAAGAAGTAGGTACTTAATAAYACTCTATACATGGTTTTCTGAGTTTTCATAAGGAAATATTTTATTTACACACGTACTTTTAAAGGTACCTATATACTGTTTAAAAAGTGAACGATGTAGACAATGCGTTTTAAATGGTCAACAAAGTTTTTATTAAGACCRAGGCTGTTAAAATTAAATTTGAAATATTTTGAAACCTACTATTTCCTAAAAACTCGTACTTGTTTATTGTATATCAAATAATTTTAATGAAATATAAAAATAACATCATATTTATTTTAAC